GACAGAGAAAGAGAGAAACAGAAAAAAGAGAAAGAGAAAAAGAAAAAGACAGATACAAAAGAAAGGGGGAGAGAGAAAGAGTAAAAGAGAGAAAGAAAGAAAGAGACAGAAAGAGACAGAGAGAAAGAGAAAGAGACAGAGATACAAAAGAAAGAGAAAGAAAGAGAGGGGGAGAGAGAAAGTAAAAGAGAGAAAGAGAGAGAGAGAGAGAGAGAAAGACAGAGACAGAGAGAGAAAGAGAAACAGAAAGAGACAGATACAAAAGAAAGAGGAAGAAAGAGGAAGGGGGGAGAGAGGGAGAGGGAGGGAGAGACAGAGAGACAGAAAGAGAAAAAAAAGAGAGAAAGAGAAAAAGATAGATACAAAAGAAAGAGGGAGAGAGCGAAAGAGTAAAAGAAAGAAAGAAAGAAAGAGACAGAAAGAGACAGAGAGAAACAGAAAGAGACAGAGATACAAAAAAAAGAAAGAAAAAAAGAAAGAAAGAGGAAGGGAGAGAGAGAGAGAGAGAGAGAGAGAGAGAGACGCACACCATTCAAAGTGAAGTGTGCATTGGATAATGCCTGCATTTTGATAATTGAGAAAGAGAAAGAAAGAGATAGAGAAAGAGACACAGAGAGAGAAACAGAAAGAGACAGAGATACAAAAGAAAGAGAAAGAAAAGAGAGAGAGAGAGAGAGAGAGATACAAAAGAAAGGGGGAGAGAGAAAGAGTAAAAGAGAGAGACAGAGAAACAGAAAGAGAGAGAGAAAGAGACAGAGATACAAAAGAAAGAGAAAGAGAGAGAGAGAGAGAGAGAGAGAGTCCCAAATAGATGGCTTGACAAGGAAACCATCTCTCCTCCACGGAGGTGTTGACCTCAGCTGAAGTTCTGGAGAGGACGGAAGCTCTCGGCTGTCACCCAAGCCCAGGGCTTCAGGGGAGATGATTTGTGTGTGACAGCTTTATCATTCTCTGTTGTTGACTTTCGGCCCAGGGAATACCGCCAAGGTGGTTTAACACTCAGCGCCTCCCATCTTTTCCTTGCTCACCGCTCAACGACGACGCTGGGCGATTTATGCAGCGTTGATTTTGCTGACACTTTCCAAGCGCCAAACCCAGCAGAGCACACCGGGCGACCGGTGCAGGGAGGGGAAGGGAAGGGATTTCCCAGAGACAAATGGGGGGGTCCCTTTGTGGGGGTGCTGGCCCCCTTTTTCTCTCCCCCCCCGGCGCTGACCTTGCCCTGCCCCTGATGGGGCCTGTGAATGCCATCTTGGCTTACATTTCGTCTCAATAATTCAGCTGAGATACGTTTGCCTTGGGTTGTGGGTCATTTTGTGTTCTTTTGCAAGACCCGAACGAAACGAGAGCCTGGGGTAATTTCCTGCGATGGCCTGTTTCACAGGCCCAGAGAACATAGAATCACAATTTGAAGGGACCTTGGAGGTCCTCTAGTCCAACCTCCTGCTCAAGCAGGAGACCCTATAGTGCCATTCTGGACAAATGGCTGATGCAATCTTTTCTTAAAAACCTCCAGTGTTGGAGCACCCACAACTTCTGTTCCACTGGTTAATTGTCCTCACTGTCAGGAAGTTTCTCCTTAGTTCCAGGTTGCTTCTCTCCTTGATCAGTTTCCATCCATTGCTTCTTGTCCTGCCTTCAGGCACTTTGGAGAATAGTTTGACTCCCTCTTCTTTGGGGCAGCCCCTGAGATATTGGAAGACTGCTATCCTGTCCCCCCTCGTCCTTCTCTTCATTAGACAATCATATCTAGTCCCCTTAGTGGTTGATCAGGACGGTATTAAGAGAATAACGGAGTTGGAAGGGACCTTGGAGGTCTTCTAGTCCAACCCCCAGCTCAATCAGGAGACCCTACACCAGTGATGGCGAACCTTTTAGAGACCGAGTGCCCAAACTGCAACCCAAAACCCACTTATGCATCGTCGGGTGCCGGGTGGGTGTGGCCCATTGGGTGGGCGTGGCTGCGGTGGTAACGGCAGACTGGGTGGGACTAAAAAGTTCAATCAATCAATTCCAACTTTGCAAGATCTTTTTTTTTCCCATGAGAAGTTGAAATTGACTGATTGAACCTTTTTTTTTTTTTTGTACACTGCGGTGGAGGCCTAAAGCGAAAAGGTTTTATAAAACCCAGCTGAAGGCCTAGGACTGGGGCGACGGCGCGCGTGCCCACAGAGAGGGCTCTGAGTGCCACCTCTTGCACCCATGCCATAGGTTTGCCACCACTGTGGCCTACACCATTCCAGACAAGTGGCTGCCCAATTTCTACTTAAAAACCTCCAGCAATGGAGTACCCACAACCTCTGGAGGCAGGTTGTTCCACTGATTAATTTCTCCTTAGTTCTAGGTTGCTTCTCTCCTTGATTAGTTTCCATCCGTTGCTTCTTGTCCTGTCTTCAGGTGCTTTGGAGAATATCTTGACTCCTTCTTCTTTGGGGAAGCCCCTGAGATACTGGGAGACAATCCTTTTCACGGCGTTCCCCTTGCGAAATGTTTCTAATGTTGGTTTTAATCGTTTCAAAGCTTGGAATCCTGATTCGTTCTGATTGTAATGTTTCGTTTTCTGGGTCATCAAGGGCACTTTACAGAAGTTCGTGGACGACCTCTTCGAGACGATCTTCAGCACCGCACATCGGGGCAGTGCGCTGCCCCTGGCCATCAAGTACATGTTTGACTTCCTGGATGAGCAAGCCGATAAGCACAACATCCACGATCCTCACGTGCGGCACACCTGGAAGAGCAATTGGTGAGTGCTTCCAAAGAGCCCAGCATACCTGCCCTCCCAGCAGGACCAGGGAAGAGAAGGCCGTTTGGAGAAGGCTCTTAAAGTTTAAAGGAAAGTTTGGAGGGAGGGAGGGAAAAGAGAGGGGAAGGGAAGGAGGGAAAAAAAGGAAGGAAGGAAGGAAGGAAGGAAGGAAGGAAGGAAGAAAGAAAGAAAGAAAGAAAGAAAGAAAGAAAGAAAGAAAGAAAGAAAGAAAGAAAGAAAGAAAGAAAGAAAGAAAGAAAGAAAGATGAAGGAAGGAAGGAAGGAAGGAAGGAAGGAAGGAAGAAAGAAAGAAAGAAAGAAAGAAAGAAAGAAAGAAAGAAAGAGAAAAAGAAAGGAAAGGAAGAAAGAAAGGAAGGAAGGAAGAGAAAGAAAGAAAGAAAGAAAGGGAGGAAGGAAGAGAAAAGGAGGAAGGAAGAAAGAAGGAAGGAAGGAGAAAGAAAGAAAGGAAGAAAGGAAGAAAGAAAGAAAAAGGAAGGAAGGAAGGAAGGAAGAAAGAAGGAAGGAGGAAGGAAGAAAGAAAGAAAGGAAGGAAGAAAGAAAGAAAGAGAAAGGAAGGAAGAAGGAAGGAAGGAAGGAAGGAAGAAAAAAGGAAGGAAGAAGGAAGGAAGGAAGAAAAAAGGAAGGAAGAAGGAAGGAAGGAAGGAAGAAAGAAAAAAGAAAAAGAAAGAAAAAAAGGAAGGAAGAAGGAAGGAAGAAAAAGAAAGGAAGGAAGGAATAAAAAAGGAAGGAAGGAGGGAAGGAAGGAGGAAGGAAGAAAGAAAGAAAGAAAGAAAGAAAGAAAGAAAGAAGGAAGGAAGGAGGAAGGAAGAAAGAAAGAAAGAAAGGAAGGAAGGAAGGAAGGAAGGAAGAAAAAAGGAAGGAAGGAAGAGAAAGAAAGGAAGGAAGGAAGGAGAAGGAAGGAAGGAAGAAAAAGGAAGGAAGGAAGGAAGGAAGGAGAAAGAAAGAAAGAAAGAAACTTGGAACTAATAAAACATTAGCATATTATTAACATCATCTGTGGCACTCATTTAAGGCTGATTGAAGCCACTGGGGGGGGGCTTCTTTGAAGAGGGGGGGAAGGGGTGGGCGTTGAAAGCGGGATTAAAGGAATGGAGACATGGTTTTGAGCAGATTCAATTAATTCCATGTCCGTTTCCCCAACTTCTTTCTTCACGATGTTTTCTTGACTTATCGCCCGCTCCTCGCTGCAAAGAGAGCAACGCCCAGGGATTCAGCGAAATCAGAAACAGAGAATCATGAGGACATTAATAAAATAGCCAAGAAACGTCTTAGAAGGGATGGAGCTGGAGAACGTTTCTCTTTGGGTTATTGGGGAACATTTCTCTTGGATTAAAACAACGGCGGGCGTTAACACTTGGGAAGGTGGGTGAGGATGAAGGAGGAACCCTTTTGAGCTATGTTTTTTGTCCGCTCAGTCAAAACATCTGCCTAGAGGTGATCTAGAAATATCACTGTGAACTTCTCCAAGGTGGTGCCCTCCAGATGTATAATCAGAGCTGGAAGGGACCTCGGAGGTCTTCTAGTCCAACCCCCTGCTCAAGCAGGAGACCCTATACCATGGCTGTCCAGTCTCTTCTTAAAAAACCCCAGTCATGAAGCACCCACAACTTCTGGAGGCAAGCAGTTCCACTGGTTAATTGTCTCACTGTCAGGAAGTTTCTCCTTAGTTCCAGGTTGCTTCTCTCCTTGATGAGTTTCCATCCGTTGCTTCTTGGCCTGCCTTCGGGTGCTTTGGAAAATAAGTGGACCCCCTTTTCTTTGTGGCAGCCCCTCAAATGTTGGAACACTGGTATCATGGTCCCCCCCCTCGTCCTTCTCTTCGTTTGACCAATTCCTGCCACCGTTCTTCGTATGTTTTAGTCTCCAGGTCTTTGATCCTCTGAGTTGCTCTTCTCTGCACTTCTCCAAACTCCATTTGAATAAATGAATAAGTCCATTTTTCATAAGTCTCAACATCTTTTTTTTTTGTAAAGTGATGACCAAAACTGGATGCAATATTCCAAGTTGTGATGGCTTCCAAGTTGTCTCGCTCACAGCCAATATGACAGAAGGCTGATTTAACATTATGGACAGTGTCTAGGGAAGTGTTACGTGGCTTTGCGATTGTTGTTCAGTCGCTAAGTTGTGTCCAACCCCTCGTGATCCCACGGACCACAGCACGCCAGGACCCCCGTCTTCCACTGTCTCCTGGAGTTTGCCCAAATTCATGTTTGTTGTGTTGATCTAACCATCTCATCCTCTCCTGTTCCCTTCTCCTTTGGCCTCCAGTTGTAGGAATTCCTCGACTGACAAGTATTCCTTTAGTAGCACTTTTCAAAGTTACAACGGCACGGAAGAAAGGGATTTATGACCGTTTCCCCACACTTATGACCCATGAGCCAATCAATGGGGAAAGCCACATTCCTGTAACAAGCTTAACCACCGTGGTGACTCAGTTAACAACCTGGGCAGAAGAGGTGGTAAAATTGGGAATTGACTCGTTCAGCAGTCCCATCAGTTTAGGGATGGAAGTTCCATTTCTAACTGTGGTGGTAAGTCAAGGACGACTCGTATTTGAGTTTTAAACATAATAACACCTCCACATCTTGTCTTCTGTCTTTTGACTTCAGCTTGCCCTTGAGGTTTTGGGTGAACATGATCAAAAATCCGCAGTTTGTCTTCGACATTCACAAGAACAGCATCACAGATGCCTGCTTATCGGTGGTCGCACAAACCTTCATGGATTCCTGTTCAACCTCAGAGCATCGTTTGGGCAAAGATTCCCCGTCTAATAAACTGCTTTATGCCAAGGATATCCCCAGCTACAAGAACTGGGTAGAAAGGTAGGTCTGACTCTGTGTGTGTGTGTGTGTGTGTGTGTGTGTGTGTTCTCCCCTTCTCTCTCTCTCTCTGCTTTCTCTTCTCTTTCTTTTCGCTCTATTGTCTTTTCTCCTCTCTCTCTTCTCTCTCTCTTCATTCTGTATCTTCTCTCTCTGCTTTCTTTCTCCTCTCTCTCTCTTTTCTCTCTCTCAATCTTTTCTTTCTCTTCTCTCTCTCTCTTCTCTGTCCCTTCTCTCTCTCTGCTTTCTCTCTCTTCTTTCTTTTCTCTCTGCTCTCTGCTCTCTTCTTCTTTTTCTCTCTTCTCTCCCTCTTCATCCTGTCTCTCTCTCTTCTCTTTCTCTCTCTGTCCCTTCTCTCTCTCTGCTTTCTCTCTGCTCTCTCTTCTTATCTTTTTCTCTCTTCTCTCCCTCTTCATTCTATCTCTCTTTTTCCCCCCTCTCTCTTTTCTGTCTCTCTCAATCTCTTCTCTTTCTCTCGCTCTCTTCTCTTTCTCTCTCTCTTCTTTCTCTCTCTATAAGAGCATTACAGGTAGCTGTCAATTTACAAGACCACTGAAAAAAGTGGTCTCTTATGACTGTTTTTCACACTTACGACCGTTGCAGCATCCCTGTGTTCACGTGATCAAAATTTGGATACTTGTCAACTGCCTCATGACGGTTGCAACTGGCATGTACTTATGACAGTTGTAGGGTCCCGGGGGTCACGCGACCCCCCCCCCCTTTTGCAACCTTCCGACAAGCAAAGTCTACGGGGGGAAGCCAGATTCACTGAACAACCCCGTTGCTAACTTAACAACTGCAGCGATTCACTTAACAACTGTGGCAAGAAGGGTCGTAAAATGGGGCCAACACTCACGTAACAAACGGAAGGGAGGGAGGGAGGGAGGGAGGGAGGGAAGAATGGCAGGAGGCAGGCAGGAGGAAAGGAAAAAAGGAAGGAAGGAAGGAAGGAAGGAAGGAAGGAAGGAGGGAAGAATGGCAGGAGGCAGGCAGGAGGAAAGGAAAGAAGGAAGGAAGGAAAGAAGGAAGGAAGAAGGGAGGGAAGAGAAGGAGGGAAGAATGACAGGAGGCAAGCAGGAGGAAAGGAAAAAAGGAAGGAAGGAAGAAGGGAGGGAAGAGAAGGAGGGAAGAATGGCAGGAGGCAGGCAGGAGGAAAGGAAAAAGGAAGGAAGGAAGAGNAAGGAAGGAAGGAAGAAGGGAGGGAAGAGAAGGAGGGAAGAATGGCAGGAGGCAGGCAGGAGGAAAGGAAAAAGGAAGGAAGGAAGGAAGGAGGGAAGAGATGGAGGGAAGAATGGTGGGAGGGAGGGGGGAGAGAGGGGAAGGCGAAGGGAGGTTCCCAATGTTTCCTGTCAGATTCCCACAAGGAAATCCAATGGGGAAGCCGACAGGAAGTCAGAAGGCGCACCTGTTCCCTCTGTTGTTGTTGGGTTGTGTTTTTTTTTTGCCTGTCCTCGGTCATTCTTTTTCTCTGCTCAGGTAAGGCAATACCCCTCAAACCATGACCCAACAGGCACAGGTCGACTAGCTCATAATTAAATGTCTCCAAGAACATCACACCGCGCTATTAGCCTCCCAGCAGAATTCTCTCCTTTTTTTTGGCTCCGAGAATCAATGCGCTGGACAGTCCAAACCCACGCTGTTTCCTCTGACCGTTCCCTGGAGGACCCACAGCCTTCTCCTGGACCCAGATCAGAGAAGACAACTTGACCCTCACAACGCTGGCCTACCTAAATGAGCCCATCTCGCCTGCAGTCTGGTCAGTGACCCAGCCAGCCTCTGCGAAGCCCCCGCAACGTTTACTACCTCCTTCCCAGGGCTTGTAAGCAGCTAGCGTTTCCTCTCATCCTCGCGAGAACGTTGGCCTGGAGTGAAAACGGGAGCCTAATTAAGCCAGGGTATCTCCTGTGCTGCCTTCGGGTTGCTAAGCAACTGCATCAGTAGAAGCCGAAGTCCTCCATCCAATCCTAAAAAATAATTATCCGGTCAATTGGGAACACGGCCGCGCCTGAGTTGAGCAAAATAGCCTTTCATGTTGCCTACAACACAGAAGCCTTTAGCGGGCTTGGGCCTCTCTCTTCCTGACAAATGAGCTCACGCCAAGCTCGAAGAAAGGACGAGCGGCGGGGTGCTTCTCAAGCAACGGTACAAAAAACGGGAATGCCCGCTTCTTGAGGATTAACCGGCGCAGACTCGCCGAGCGGATTGAAGTGCCAATTGTTGGGAAAACAAAAAAAAATAGGAGCTGCTAAACATGCCATTAGAACAGGTCCCCAACACCCCCCCCCCCCGGTCTGTGGACCGGTACCAGGCCGTGGCATGCCAGCAACCGGTCTGCACAAACAAGCAAAGCCCCATTTAATGAAGAGAAGGACGAGGGGGGACATGATAGCAGTCTTCCAATATCTCAGGGGCTGCCCCAAAGAAGAGGGAGTCAAGCTATTCTCCAAGGCGTCTGAAGGCAGGACAAGAAGCAACGGATCATGGAAACTGATCAAGGAGAGAAGCAACCTAGAACTAAGAGAAACTTCCTGACAGTGAGGACAATTAACCAGTGGAACAACCTGCCTCCAGAAGCGGTGAATGCGCCAACACTGGAAGTTTTTAAGAAGAGACTGGGCAGCCATTTGTCTGAAATGGTATAAGGTTTCCTGCCTGAGCAGGGGGTTGGACTAGATGACCTCCAAGGTCCCTTCCAACTTTATTATTATTATTATTATTATTATTATTATTATTATTATTATTATTATTATTATTATTATTATTATTATTATTATCATCATCATCATCATCATCATCATCATCATCCACAGGATGCAGGCAGCACACAAAACCACGCGCCCTCCGGTCCGCGGAAAAATCTCTCTCCACAAAACCGGTGATCCCTAGTGCCCCAAAGGTTGGGGACCTCTGCATTAGAACATCGGCACATCTCTGAGGCCTCAATCTGCACTGGGCACAGGTAGTGCCTCAACGTACAATGGTTCATTTAGTGACCGAAACTAACAGTGGCACTGAAAAAAAAAAGGAACCGGTGACCGTTTTTCACACTTTCGACCGTTGTAGCCTCCCCACGGTCTCATGCTCAAAATTCAGACGCTTGGCAACTGGCATGTACTTATGACGGTTGCAGTGTCCTGGAGTCGTGTGATCCCCTTTTGTGATCTTCTGACAAGCAAAGTCAATGGGAGGAAGCCCGGTTCACTTCGCACCCGTGTTCTTCACTTAACGACTGCCGTGGTTCGCTTAACAACTGTGGCAAGGTAGGTCGTAAAATGGAGCCAAATTCATTTCTTGTTTAGTGGCTCAGTTGCTGTCGTAAGTCGAGGACGTCCTGTGTTTTCACATCTTTCCTCCACTGATGTTCAAGCAGCCTCTATTACCCACTACGATGTATCCGTTATTTGGATTTATTGCACAAATCAAGACAGCCTTTGTCGCGTCAGCCAAGTTGCTGCTTTGGGACATGCAACAAGGCCTTGCAAGCACGTACTAACTAAAGGAGTAGAGTTTACACTGCAGCCAGCCTCTAACACACACAGATGTTTCTGTTCCCTTGTCAAGTGGTCGCGGTTGCTATGGATGCTTTTTACATGAGGCCTTTAAATCTGTGTGCTTGAGCTCACAATAAATAATCACTTTGTTTGTTGGGGTGTCAAGTGGTCAAGGTTGAGAAGAGCTTCGGCTTCACCTGGTCTTTCCCAGCTGAGCTGTCTGTCTGGGAAGATTCCTGTATTACAGGCAGTAAACAATAAAGTAGCTAGATTAAACTCTACACAATGCGGGTCCGGCTGTTTGCAGTGGACAACACACATCGTCCTTGACTTACCAACGCAGTTGAGCCCAAAATTTATGTTGCTAAGGGAGGCGTTTGTGAGGTGAGCTTCGCCCCCATTTTACGGCTTTTCTTGCCATGGTCGTTAAGCGAATCCCTGCACTTCTTCCGTTCGTCACATGGCTGTCAGGCGAATCTGACTTCCCCGTTGACTTTGCTTGTCAGAAGGGCACAAAAGGGGATCACTGCGACCGTCATAAATACAAAGCGGTTACCCAGCGTCTGAATTTTGATCACGAGATGCTGCAATGGTTGTGTGAAAAACGGTCATAAGTCCCTTTTTTCCAGAGCTGTTGTAACCCTGGAACAGTCATTCAACAAACTGTTGTAAGTCGGCGACTACCTATATAATAGACCCGTGGTGGCGAACCTATGGCACGCGTGCCACAGGTGGCACGCAGAGCCCTCTCTGTGGGCATGCGTGCCGTCGCCCCAGTCCCAGGCCTTCAGCTGGGTTTTATAAAACTTTTTCGCTTTAGGCCTCCGCCGCCGTGTGGAAAAAAAAAAAGGTTCAATCAATCAATCAATTTCAACTTCTCGCAGGAAAAAAAAAGATCTCGTAAAGTTGGAATTGATTGATTGAACTTTTTAGTCCCACCCAGTCTGCCGTTACCACTGGAGCCAAGCCTACCCAATGGGCCACACCCACCCAATGGGCCACACCCACCCGGCACCTGACTATACATAAGTGGGTTTTGAGTTGCAGTTTGGGCACTCGGTCTCTAAAACGTTCGCCATCACTGTAATAGACCCTTGAGCTCAAATGTCCCGTGTTGATATCCTTAGTAATGTGGGCATCAGCCCCGCTGTCTTCTGCTAGTTGGATTTCAACCAGTGGACCACCCCCAAAACAGGTTGGCGTCACTAGGTTGCCACCATCACCTGGTTGAGTTTTCTTTGACTTCGTGGTTCTTCAGAGCTTCTGACGAAGACTTTGGTGCCCCCTTGCACCTGAACGGCAGAGCGGTTGCGTAAATATGTCATTCCCCCGTAATTGCCATCTTCTGTCTGCAACACATGGTCTCATTAACGGCGTTTTATATGCTAAATGATTATTAACGAGCTTTGTAATGAGCGACAGCAGCAACCCCCTCCAAAGGCCCTCACAAGATAATTAGCTCCATGCCACAGCGAAAAAACAAAAAAAAACACAGGACCACCCTGGTAGATT